AGACGAGGGCCAAGAGACTTGTGGCATTGTACAGTGGATTCGTTCGACAAGATCGGTATCGCTACTCAACCAGACCGAATGATGAATGCCCGTCGGGACCGCTCTCGGGACCGTTCGAGCGAACGCAGGCACTATTTTTGCGGGTCACTCGTCGCTGACCCGAGGTTACAGCTGACGACCAAAGGCCACAGGTAACCCTCAAATAAACATCCGTTCGTTGCTCTTCTTGTTCACGCAAGACATCCATTCATGGGGTCATTCTCTCCGATGTTGAAAACAATCATCTCTCCGATATTGAAAACAATGATGTCATATTTGCTGCTACTTTCTTCGAAGTCTGGAAGGTAACACAGCGGCGCGACACCGGTCACTGCTTCCCTCGTTTCATAGCCAGCACCAAAGTTTTTTTCCCTTCCATATCAACTGGCCGGGGCACAACAACTGTCGTCTCAATATACCGAGACCCCCCAATGGTACTCTACCAACCAGCAGGCCCTCTTAGTACCACCAGTCCATCATCGAAAATAGCACTCCACATGTAATCAAGGGAGTACTACGTGGTACTCGTACCCCAGTTATCGTGACTTCCCCACCCCACGCACATTTTGGATTAACAAAATGGTGGAATGGGTGGGAATGTATGGGAAGAAAGACAACACTAGCTCGAGAAACAACTGGTCCGACAGCAACCAGCGTTGTTGTCTACTCGTACGTCCATCTATCCCTGTGCTACTCCAAGCACTGCTGCGCGTGCGATGTGAGACGTGACTTGGGCGGCCCTGCATGTTCTGCCCGGGTACGTTTATCTGCGAAGTCTGGAAGGTAACAACGAAGGGTGCGACACCGGCCGCTTCCCTCTTTTCTCACTCAGAATCCAAGCTTCACTACCACGTCGACTAACCGGGCCCCTACATTGCCGTCCCAACATACTGAGACCCCAATGATACTATTTCCATCGACATCCACCAAAATCGAGAGTTAGCGAGACGGCTTCTTGTTGCCTGTCTAACTTGGTGATTTCCCGACCCTTCTTTGCCGTCGTCTCCCGTCCCTTCGCTAGTTTGAGGGGCACCATGTCTACGTATTCCATATATATTCCGGTTATATACCTTGAACGTGCCCGGATCTTCCGTCCATCTGCCCTCTCCCTGCACTACTACTATTATTCTATCCGATATCTCTCCCCTGCGGCCAGCGTCGTCGTTGCTTCCTTCCACGATTGCAGGCCGGCCTGTTTCGGGGTTCACCAACCGGACAATAATAGCCTTACGAGCATCCCTACACCTTAGCGTCCTCGTTACTTGTACCGCACCGAAAGGGATAAGCGCTCTCAGACAAGGAGAGGTTACGACAGGCACCCAAACTCTACCGACAGACACACGCCCCCCCCCCTCCCCACCGGCGCCTAGCGCCTCGTGCCACGCATGTCGGACCCATGATATCGTACGATTCCTACTCGGACAGACCCCCATCAGCGGCCCCGGCCGAATAGCCGATACACCGGGAGCAGCTCAAACCACCACAAGGACGCGGTCGTTCCGTCCCCCCGCATCGCGCGGAGCGCCTAAGACACACACGGGAAACGCTACATACTTTGCTCCAGGAACAACTGGTCCGACAGAAAGGAAACAGCACTGGCTTTTTTTTTACTCGCGCATATCTAGATACCCCTGTGATCCTCCTAGCGCTGATGCGCCGACGTTGCGAGATCTGACTTGCACTGCCTGCATGCGCACGCTCACGCGCGAACCCAGTCATCCTCTTCGCCACAGAAAATATTATACCTATTCGAACTCCAACACACTCTCCGGTCCTTCCTCCCCCCGCCGGCAGTAGCCGTCTGAAATGCCAGCTCTTCTACGTACGCCCCTCGTACGGTAGTTCACACCTAGCCCATGGCCTTGCCTCTCTCTCAGCTGAAGAAAGCCAATCCGGAGCCCCGCAGAATGAATCCAGTATAGTATACAGTCGCTGCAAACATGCTGGACACGTCGATGACTTCCTGCCTTCAATGTGGCTTCCTGAGACTCATCAAATATCTAACCTCTTGCCCTTGTGTACATCACTTATTTCCGTGCGCAGTCGTCACTCCTCCTTATCGGAACAAATGAAACGGTTCGCGTGAAATGACAAGAAGCTTACAAAGGCTAACGACTATCTTCCCGAGACACAATAAGGGGCCGGGGGCAGGTTTGCCGATGTAGCCGAGCAAGAAACCAAGGAAAAAATAGCAAGCAACAATAATTCGATAAATAGAACAGAGGGGGAGGCCACAACATCCCGCCATTTTTACAAAAAGAACACTAGAAAAAAACAGGGTGGAACGAAAGGCCGCCAGCACCACGCGTACATGCAACCGATCAAACCTAGTTATTAGACGACACCTATCGATTCAAGTATGCGTACGCGACGTACCACCACCACCACCACCACCACAAAAAAAACACAAAAAAAAAGGCTAAAAAAGAGTACCAGAACAAACGGTGCGACGGGTCACAGCAATGTACGACACAAACCAATGCACATGTAAAATTTCAAAACAAGATGATGGTACTTAAAACACCAGAAAAAGCGTAAGGGATACGTACAACTGACCCAAGAACATCCATCTCTTGTACCGATGGTTACGGGTGATCCAAGCGTGTCATATTGCAGTACCATCTTTAAGAAAACACAATACCGTGCACAGGACAGTAGCGAGAACAGTAGGACTCATCTGCGGCTTCCAAAGATCCAGACACTACGCCGAACCACATGCTCGCCTTCTCATTAACACCAGACGAGACTCAAGACGGTTTCTAATACAACAAGCCTAGGACTTCGAACAGCTTGTATGGAGGGGGGAAGCTGGTCACGATGGTGGGACAACGAGAGCAGAGGAAACATACAGCGAAGTTCGAAAGGTTCCCCATACCGGCGACAAACAACCGCGGGGGGCGAAACACAAATAAAGGCGAACTCACTCATACCGGGTCTGAGAGCGACTGAAACGCTCCTTTCCGTCCTTACCAAGCAAAACATACACGTTGCATAAAACAAACGGATGCACATTGATCAACAAACCCTGTGAGTTGGTGCCAGATCGCTAGTGCTGGGATCGCTCGCTCCCCAAGAGCAATAGCGACACGACCAACGCACTATTTTACGGGGGAGGGGGAGGCCGCAGTGGTCGCTTTCGAGCGAAAGACCAACAACATGTAAGCTGTTCGTGCGAGGGGCGCCACAGCCGCAAACCCAATAGTGACACAGAACAGACTTCAGTCAAGGATAAAATAACCGAGCGGGCGATGATGGCTATCACGTAAAAAAGACGCGAGCCAGCCGCATCGCTACAGGAACACACAGCGTAATACATGCACGTAAAAATCACCAAGAGGAGAAAAAAATACGGTGAGTGCCTGGAGAAGAAATCCTCCGGCGGTTACAACTCCAAGGGACACATCCATCCAAGGGATGCAACGGGGTTTGGTGGTGACCCCACTAATAAACCGACACCACAACGCCTACAGTGAGTCACAGACACCACGACACCACGGCCAATCGTGAAGTCCCAAACGGGAAGGGAAATATGGGGTACCCACGTGAGGGACTAAGTCCCGTATTCCACCGACCAGGGTTCACCTTGCGAAGGGGGTGTTAGAGGCCTCGTTGCTGCTGTTGCTGCTGCCACCATGACTGCTGCTGTTGCTGCTGCTGCTGCCACTGCTGCTGCTGCCACTGCTGCTGCTGCCATTGCTGCTGCTGCTCCGCAGAGGCGGCGCCCCCAGGGAAACCGGGCTGCCCCATACCTGCGGACGGGTTTCCGCGCGATGCCGAAAAGGCCGCCGGAATCATTCCCATGGCGCCGGAGGGGGGCGTGATGCGTGTGTATCCCACCTGTTGTTCGTACGTGTCCGGGGGAGTTGGGAGGGAAGGAAGGAATGGGGGCATTTATTGCTTGTCTTTCGTGGTCGTGCACCAAGCAAGAACTTTAGGTGTAAATACAGCTACTGTAGTTCCAAACGCGGGACACTGCCAGCGTCCTTTTTGGGCGCTCGTTGTGGTCTGTCTTGTGTTCTCCTGTCGGCGATCTTGCCTCTCTTACACCTTCATCCATTTCTGGTGTTTGTGCGGCTACCATCTTTTCTCCTCGTGTACGATATGTAGCGAGTTTTCTTTTTTTACACAACACTTTCTAGCCTAAACAATCATGAACGTACAAGACAATCGTTTCCAACTGCGGTTCTCCATGTCCTCCTCAACGATCCCCTTTTCTTCCCTAAATACTTCACCCCCCCCCCCCCCCTCGATGTTTGCCATCCCCCTCCCCGATGTTTGCCATCGGGGTTGAGTTCTCGTCGCTAGGCAGCGATATTGTAGAACAAGCCGATCACTTCGTGAGCTCGGCAACCAGGTTACCGTTTTTTTTGCCTTCGCTTTGTTTTTGTTTCGTTCACCATGAATGGTGGTCGGGTAGATTATGTTGTGCGGGGTCGAGAACCCTCACTCAGTGCAAAGGGGATTATCGCACCACGTTGTGTTAAATTGGTCAAACACCCTCGAGGCAGTTGCACAGTGCTTACAACTGTCTATGGAAGTGAAAGCACCAGAAAATAAATTAAGTCATACGCAAGTGTCATCCGTACGCAAGGAAGTAAGCACAAGATGCCGAACACCCCTAGCAGGATGCAGCGCACCCTTCATGACTCGCCAAATACCTCACGGCGCTTCGCGCTTGGTGACGTGAGAGCCTGGTCCGGTGAGAACCCGGCGTGCTCCGTCCCGGCTTTGTAGGGATGCGAGGTCAATGTTCTAACGACTACGGCATGCACGACTATGAGTACACCCTCCCCCCCACCCCACCGCAAGGGGCAGGAACGATTGGCCGTCGGTGATCGGTCTTGTGGGAACAACGCTCCGTCCTCTCGACGACGCGTGGTGAATGGTCTAACCGCTAAGGCATTCAAAACAAGAGCACGCCCCCCCTCTACCGCAACCAACTCTCTTGGACTTTGACATGATTATATTCCAACCTGCCTCGTGCCTTGCCGAGCGCATCACATGACCGCACGGACAATAATTAAAGTAGCCACGCCGACAGCCGGCCAACATCATCCATTCATCCGAACAATCGCTCACCAAAGGGACACGCCCGAGTTTCCTGCCCACACGTCTTACCTTGAGGTGGGGGCCCACGTACCGGAACTCGCGACCATCGTCGGAGAGAACTTCGACGGCAACGTCGACCTGGGAATGAAACAGAGCAACCTAACACCGTTAAGGTCGGGTAGGGGGCGAAGGTGCGGACGGACGCTGGAGGCTAGACCTGATTTCCCAACCGATCTATTTTTTGGGCGCGGGAGTAACGCTACCACTTCCTCGGGAGTCGCTAACACTTCGGGAAAGGTTCGGGGTTCAAAATGGAAGCATAGGTGGGCGGTGCTTGTCCTCAAATATTTACGGGAGCCAGGTGCCAACAACCCCTCGTAAATGCTCAGAACCCGCTTCTTGTTATGCACTCGCGGGCGAGAGATCTCTCAACAGCGCCACGGCTTGGCTTCAACTCCCATGCAATGGCTACGGGGATGTCTTTTTTTTTCGAACATCGGAGAGACCGACAGAGGAGGACACTCATTGGCGGAAGGCACCGATAGCTGAGATCAAGATATACGTCTGCCATCCGTCGGTGTTGGGGATGTCTTTTGCTGGGGAGGTGTTACGTTTTTTCTTGCGTGCTTGTGATATCTGACCCTAAATGGGTCGACGTCAAAGTCGGGAGAAGCAACAGACGCGATACGCGGGGGATGTGCGAGGCCCTCCCACCGCACCTCAACCGCTCGAACGTCAACCGTGTAGTACAGCTCCGGCCAGACCTCTTCCAGGCTGGGGTAAAACACCCGAGAGTACGCCCGACCATCGGCTGCGACCTGGAGAAGGGACCAAAGACACACAACAGAAAGGCAGGCACGACATTAAGGTTGGGGGGTCGGGGGCACAGCACGACTGTATCGTTTCTGAGTCTCGCCAGTCGAGGCCCAACAGAAACGGCCTAGGCGCGTGAGACAGCCGAGATGCGGTCACTATCAAGCGTTCGGCCTATGGACTGGTCCCGATATGTCGCGGTCCCCAGTAGCGCGGTTCTCGATGCATATATCGCGGTGATAATTCCTTGGCACAACAGCCTAGCCCTATTCAGGGACCTCCCCCCGAACGCTCAAGCAATATAGACTAGAGGCGCACGCATACCACCCGCCCAGCAGGCTCCCGATACAACGCGGCGATTTTCGTCTGTCACTACACCACCATTACTGTACAAGACGCCTCAACCCACCTGGATAGGGCTCGTGACGCAGGCAATCTGGTGCACAGCATCGACTCCGAAGATCACCGTGACGCGCAGGCCCCGGGGGTCATGGCCGGTGTCGTTTAGCCCCGTGAACACGACGTGGGTATCGCGGCCGTTCGAGGAGACAGTGCTGCTTGGAGTCATGCCGCTGCCGCCCCCGGGAAGCGGGCGACCTTCGAAGTCACATTCCTGTAGCCGCGGGATCGTCGTCGGGGTTGTGGTGTTCAAGAGTCATGCCGCGGAAATACAAGGCCGGGGAGCGTGGGGGCTTGGGAAAGGCTGGGAACGAGAGATGTCGGGGGGTGCGATCGAGGGATCCATCAGGTCGCAGCGTGTATGTGAGTCATTCGCGTGGACCCTACAACTCCAGAATAGAGTATTCATGCTTTGTGGTGTACGTCGCGTGTCCACCGAGCACTTGGAGGAGGACGGGGAAGGAGGCTTGCTTGCGTTGTGCACGGGTCGCTCCTGCTACCGTTCAACACCAGAGGGAGGATGTAGCCGGGGCGGGGGCACGGCAGCAGGGCTGCAGAACGGGCCCGCAGTCAAGATATACTTCGAAGTATCCATTAATAGTTAAGAAACAGAGGCTCAAATTATCACAAAAGATATGAAAATAGGGTTATGAAACACAGCTCAGCGGTGGATCCTATACTAAATCTATATGACAAGCTGTTCCTCTACGAGACCGTTACGGCATGCCGTTCCTGCGACCCCAGTATCCGCGGCGCACGGGCACAACCGACATCTTGCTTCGATACATAGCGGCGATGAAACAAGAAACCGAATCTCGACCCGATTTTGACGTTTCATGTCTCCGGCCCCGTTCTGCGTATGAAACAGCCCCCGTCAGTGGCGGGAAAAGAAAACATACGAGCTGCGCGTTCTTACCACACGACGAGGGGCAACGGAATCACGCGTGAGCAACGCGACGAGAAGCGCTACTTACCAACGCCGGAAGCGGCGCGTACCACCCACCTTGCGGGCCAGCGCGACCACCACCCCCTCTATCGGCAGCCTGCGCTCCTCGGCCATGCCGCCGCCGCCGCCGCCGCCGAAGCCATGGCCCGTCGAGGACAGCGGGTGGTGGCCTTCGCCCGACCCAGAGTAGGACGGGTGACCCCCGGGCGGATGATGCATCCCGGGGAAAGGCAGACCTTGGCCATCAAACCCCTGGTGCGGTGGCAGCAGCATGCTACCCCCATACCCTGCCCCCGTTTGACGTACACCGGGGAGGGGGTGGCGCCGCGAAGGTCAGCGTTGTCGATAGATGAGTTGATTCGGAGAACGAGCGGTGGGTGTCCGTCGAGCTACAGGTCATACGGCGCGCCGCTTGGGCGAACCGTTGACATCCGACAAGGGACGGTGATTTTGCCACAAGCGCCGTTACATAGCTTGAAAGAGTAGCATCGACCACCATGACCGTACGTTGATCGTGTTTACAATCGTTGGGACACACCGATGATTTTCATGAGGAATGACTAAAAATACGTACACATGCGCACCTACCCGTAGACGAAGACTCACCTGAGTAGACGACAACAATGTCTGCAACCGGCATTTGTCAGAAAGCAAAATACATGTCTTCGTGTGTCTGTGCGTACCATTGGAAAAGGGGGTGCTGGTCTCAATAGAGCTGCACCTACTGTAGTACACCCCATCCCGTCTGAGAAATACAGATGGTATCACAGTCTAGATAGGTAAGCACGTAAAAGAGTGCTTGAAAAAGCTGTACATGTACCGTTGTATGTCTGGATTTTAGTTTTCGGTGGAGACAATGCACAATGAAAAACCTGTCTGCTCGGTATCTTCTGTATCCGTGCTGGTCCAACTAAAACGCATCCTTCCGTGGTCACAGGCCGTGCCGTCAGCGGCTATGCCATTGTCCCATACACAGCATCGTCTATGCTGTGGAATATGCCGTGAGGATGCGAAAGTACTGCTGTATGTAGGCGTGTGTGCGATCAACCTGTTAATATCTAAAACTGTTTCTTTTGTCGCACGGGGGTGCGACCTCCTCTCTCTCCGTCCTGTGCCACATCTCTGATCCCTGTGCAAAAACCCACTGGCTTTATTATCGAACAAAAACGCGCGCGCGGGGGGGGGCGATCTCTTCGGCCTGTGCCATCTCGCCGGGCCTGTACCAACCATCGCGACCGTACAACGGTTTTCCTTTGCTGGTGGTTTGACTGACGTTTTGGCTGATGATTTACCTTTTCCCAAAAAGCCACACACACTTCCATTATTTTCTGTGTCCGCTGCCACACTGACTAGAGTACGCACAGCAGGTGTGGAGCCTCGCGACAAGGCATGTTGTGAGACCGACAGACAAACCGTAGGATCTCGCTGGTGTGTGCGTGTGTCTCATTGATCGATTCGCGATGATAGCGTGCAACCCAACGCCCGGCAGTGGGTGAGGGTCGGAGAAATCGCAAGCGAAAACACCAATTAAATCATTTCAACAGACTTTTTTTCACACAGGGGGCAACTTTTCTTTACGGTTCAACAAGTCTACTGCTGTACTGCCAATCGCCAACTAAAACTACGTATTCCTACTCAACAAATGTTTACCAAGTTTGAATCAATACACAAGGGTTCAACTATGGGCGAAGGACCCAGGTACAACAACATATGACCACGTACGTATGCATATCTTCCTCGAGAAACATGTTGTACCAGCTAGACTACAGTAGTAGCAGACTGCTACTGCGTGTGAGATACGATGATAATAACGGTACAACGTCTCCACAACGTCCATCCACCGCGTGCATTTTTTGTTTATTCTGCATGCATAATTATTTATTGAGACTTTTCGTCCTCTCCTCCCGCACGGCACTTTGTATCTGCTGCGGTAGATTATAGGTCCATCTTCCCTTTCTTTCACACACACTCTCTCTCTCTGTGGTAATGAGACGGGATCGCACCACACACAGCCGTCAGCTCTGAGAAAGATTCACAAAACAAACAAGTACAGACCATCCGAGAGTGTGTTTCGCGGGCGTGTCTTCAACCTTTTGGGGCTCGAGACGGCTGAAGTATACCAGCAGATCACAGACCAGCAGCAGTTTGTAGGCTGGCAAATACTTCCACGCTGGCGCGAACTGCCCAATAAGCGAACTGCCATCCAGCTACCACCTTTACTCGCACGTTGCCCGTTGCAGGATCTAAACTCGTCCTCTCACTTTAGGAAAACGTCGCGTTGGCATAACGCATCAGCAGCATAACGTACTGCTCTACTGAAGTTCGAAAGCACACACACACACGGCCTAGCAACTACTGGTGCCAGACAGTAGGAGCAGGGGTGAGATGAACATCACCAACAGATATATACTCCTTGCCGCAGCAGCAGCAGCAGCGCACCTGAAAATAGATGACCGTCAGCAGCCGCGGCACCAGAATCGGATCTAGCAGCGGCATTTTTCTTGCGGCCGCGCGGTAGCTCCACGGGCCTGGCTTCCACGGAGGTGCCACGAAGAAGGTGGCACAGGAGCGCGCCGCAACCCTCGCTGGGCTGGGGGCCTGCGAACTGAATTTCGACCAGGACGCCGCCAGCTGCCGCTGCCTGGAACCCGACTTGATCATGTGTGCTTTTTGATGCAGGTTCAGCCGCTTGTTCTGATGCTGGTCCTGGGCCAGCGTGCTTGAGGGCCAGACGTTTGACGGTCGTGTACCTCTCACGGACGGCGAAAAACAGGTCCTCTTCCGTCATCTCTGACGATGATGCCGACGGCAAAGGGGCACGACGCAAGAGGCAAGAGTCCGTGAGGGGATAAGAGAGCGCAGTGGTCGCAGCGGTTGGAGGTGGTGGTGGTCAGGAAAGTCACCTGTCGATAGGATCTTCACATCTAATCTCCGGAGTTATCTACGTCGTTACACAGAAGGCGATCATGTTCGTTTCAAACCTGTTTTGATGCAAGTTTTTTGTCGATGTGCACACAACATCATGAGGCTTCGGCAGCAGCCAACAGCCGCAGCAGTCTCACCATGGTTCGCGATGCCATCAATCTTAAACACCCAGCCCCTTTGCTTCCGCCGAACCGGCCGCATGCTTCCAGCGCCACCTGTGGGCGAGCTGGATGGCGTGTCTGAAGATGGTGTAGCCATGTTATGATTGAGCTTGGGTGCACACAGCAGGCCACACACAACAGGCGCAGGCGGGCGGTTGCGGCTTGGTGTCTTCTTTCGTCTGGACGATAGAAGTTGGATGGTTGTGCCGAGAGAAACCTGATGCGGATGACTCTCTCGGGTGCCACTCTTGCTGGGGAGGATCGAGATTTGCAGTGCTGCCGTTTGGTGTGTGTATGGTGCGCGTGATCGAAACGGGCACAGCAGTTGGGTGCAAGGGGTATAAGTTACACCAGTGTGGCGCACCAGCCGCCCCCCGCAGAGCAGGATACCGAATACCGTGTAGTTTTCTACCAGTTCGGAACTGAAAGAGCAAAATATTTTCCCTCCGCGTTCTTATGAAAGATAAAAGAGGACACCTCAACCTTCAACCATTGCATCGGTGGTACTCAGGAAAATGAGAATTAGCTACTTGCTCACATGCGCAGCAAACATGCAGCAGGGAGATGAGTAAATTTGAATTTCGCTGTGCTGCATGGTGACTCAGGGGGCAAGAGAGGAGCACAGCAGCCGACTGATCATGAACCTGGCTAAAAGCACGCAAAGTTCAAGACGGCGGCGGCAAAGGGTGCAAGGGTCGATGCGCAAGATCACTTTTCTGTTGGCCTGCGGGCTATTTCGTTGCAGTTCGGGCGTGATATCATCTACATGCACAAGTGCAGCGGTATAAAACTTTGGGGTGACGTGGCACCTGAGAGCTATTTCAGAATACTTGTCAGCTGTTTTCAGAATATATATTAGTCGGGTCGTTGCGCGCCTCGAAAAATAGCGAAAAATAGCGATGGTCAAAGGCTTGGCGTCATGGGACATCCGTTTGACGAAAGGGTTGACCTGGAGATAAAATCGGCTTTCAGACCTATAATACTGGAAGCGAACCCATCGCATGCATCGGCTACCTTTCTCACCACTGATGATCAGCATATTCAAAACGAAGGGAATTGCAGTGCGTTCCCCAGACCGCTCTGTCTGTCGTTCTCCGGACCGCTCTGTTCGATTTTAATGGGCAAGCGGCGGCTACCGTCTCAAAATACAGCCAACGATTATTTTCGGAGAAATGTCTGAATCGCGCCGTACGGGGTGTTTTGGGCAGGCAAAAGGGTTCTAGTAGAAAAATGGGTTCTGCCGCCCGATGATCAATCTCCCGGTCTCCCGATCCATTTGTCCGCGTGCTCTCTGTGGTGTGAAACTACCCGCCGCGCAGCTGAGGATGATGATCCATCCCACGACATCATGGAGAATCCACGCTCTGACCTCTCTGCAACACACAACCTCTCACAATCAACTGATTTCCACGCATGACAAGACATCTCTAGAGTAACCGCCGTAGTTGACACACACGACGGATTGTTGTTCATTCATTCGTTGCCATGACAATATTCGCGGTCGGTGGGTGATCATCCGCACAACACCGATCGATATATATGTAGAAGATGACCGCACCTGCACTTTTACTCCCGCAGTGAAGGTGTCGGCGGCAGCCGGACCAACCACCAGTAGTTCAGTACGTCCATGGATGCGCAGAGATCGGAACAGTTTCATGTTGATGTTGAACAGCAATCCCTACTCCTGCAATGCTTCTTCTACAATAAGTAATAAAAAAGTACGTGTCATGGTAGTAGTATAGTCAGCACACACACGACGACAAACAAACGCCAAAAACACGCAACAACCAGTGCTCGGTCCAGATACCATACGTACACCATTATATCATTATTATTGTACCGTTTCTTTTTAGAAGAACCGACTGTTGTTTGTTGTTCTGGTCTCGTTCGCAATTACGAAGTTACGTTTGTCTACGGCAGTACAGCAGTAGTGAGTGGTCGTTGCGTGCACTTGACTCTCGGGCTAGCTACAAAGAAGAAGGCCGCGCGCTAACACTAATACACAGGGACGACTCTAGTCTATTTAGTATGGATGCTTTGTACAATGGAGGAGTATGAGGGTAATGAACGGGTCGAATCGCGGGGCGATTACGCCGCGGGTTCAACAGCGAAGTTGCGCCGCGTCTGTCTACCCTTGGGTGGAAAGCGCTACAGGGGCAAGCGCGGAAGAAGTACCTAGCCCACCGTTGATAGGAGGCACCGAGCAACCTAGGGCTTGAGTTAGAAGGTCTCGCTTTCCCTCTAGAGCAATATCTTGAAAACCTCCTTTTCGTTCCCCGTTTACCACGCTCCCGCCAGTTGCTGTCTATAAACCCTATCAAATGTGCCCTCGTATCGAGGGGACAATTGATAGGGATTATAGACAAGAGACGGCTCAAGTGGGAAGGCAGTTTTGCACTTGCACCCAGGGATGGAACTGTCTGCACCATCCAATCAGCAGGCGTCGTTCGCTCTTTCTCTTACATTTCAGAAATTTCGCAAGAACGCCGAATTTTCTGTGCGTGGTAAGGGGGTTTTAAGTTTTGATGTAATTAATTGGCTCTGCTTGTAATTATCTGCAGCTACGATACCTATTGCAATATTTCTTCCACGAAAATCTACTATAATACGTACCTGGTACGGTAGACTTGTGCAAAGAACTTGAAAATGAAAGTAAGTGAGTTTTCATGTAGCGCCCCGTCGTCATGCAATAAACTATCTGGATTACAGTTGCTCCCCCCCGTTCCTGATTCCTTCTGCAATTCGTGTGTCCTCGACAACTACAGTAGATATCATCAGCCGGGATCACAGAGGAGGAGGAATGCCATACAATCAACAGCTGTACAGCAGTGCGGGCCCGCCGCAGCCGCCATGAAAATAGCCGCCAAGAAAAAGAGAGAAACGTTCACGAAAAATAAATATATGTACTTGGGTAAAACACACCTCCGCGGAGGATTCTACACTAACTAGCAATCAGAAATAACTATAGAGCAGTGAAGAAACAAGAATCGACCCGATATTGACGTTTATTATCTCCGCCCCCCGACGACTGTATGTACGGATCCCACAATATAATGTTCGCGCCGTGTACCCTCGACGGTGGACTCTCTTGGGATACAACATGCGTATGCATGCCTTGGTGCTTTCGCGTTTACAGATATATAGGGGTGCGTATGTACTGGCACAGCAGTCGATCATGGCGGGAGACAAGCGAAGGCAAACAAACCCAGTACTCGTCGAGCGCAAAACTCTAGAAAAGCATATTGCTACGCGCCTGAAACGAGCCAGAGATCGTACAATCGAAAACAGCACCACTTGACAAAACGGTAGAAACGGGGGAGTGGGCGGGGGCGGTGGTGGTGGTACTCATTAGGTACCTCCGACTACATCACGGGCAACACATCAATAATATCTATTGCACCGGAGAACTTGTGACGTTCCTTGCATACTGAACAAAGACAATACCGTGTGGGCGTGAATCTTTCCTACTATACATGACATCAAGTCAAGTTTCCCTTCTCCGTGTCGCCAGAGGCACGTCCAGACATCGAAGCAACGCCAGACACAAAATACAAAAAGCAAATCGTCTCACATGGTACAAACAATAATAGCGAACTTTTCCCGGTGCCCTAAGACGTTGTACACGCGACCCAGAGAACAAACATATTGGGGAAGGAGGAGGCCGCTCTCGCGGTCAAATCTGCCAAATCTACCAACACCAGAAAATTACACGAACGACAGGTAAAACTCCCATGTGTAAGAGAGGCGTGCCCGGCAGAGCACTGAAAAACAACACTCAACACTGTACGCACAGAAGCGACAAAAAAAACAAACTTGGGGGGGAGAGGAACCGCTAATGGCGCGTAAATACAGACCAATACCTGCCCGACATAGTCGATACCCACGAAGAAATACAACATCGGAAGAAGAAGTGCTTCAGCCGTGACACGAAACACAAGAACAACGATGACCTCGAGAACGCGAACATTGATGGCATCACCGGAAAAGGCACAGCACCATCACAGCATCACGCTACGGATACAGCAATGGACCACAAAATGAAGGGTTCCCTTGCAGCACAAAAATAAGACCGTTCTCGTTGTGCGTGCGTTCCATGTTACACCTCTCATCCTCCCTTCCCTCTCCCGCCCTCTCTCTCTCTCTCTCTCTCTCTCTCTCTCTCTCTCGAAACCGCAACTATTGCAGCATATCCCACCGTTGCTGCTGCTGTTGCTGCTGCTGCTGCTGTAGCTGATGCGCAGCGGCCTCGCCGCCCATGTAAAAGGCCTGCTGCTGTTGCATGTCCACGCATCGATCCGCCACCGGCCACGAGTGGTCGACGGCACGGGGGCGAGCGGGAAGCACCTGGCGCGGGAGTGCCTGCAGGGGTCTCCCCCCCGTCGCAACCAGTACGGCCACGCGACGAGCGGTTTGCCTCCCGGTCGGTCTCGGCGAAACGTCGCCGCCATCGTCGACGGGTGGTATGGCTCGTCGGTAGGCCACCTGCGTGGGTGTAGCACGTTCAGGGCGGGACGGCGTTGTTCACCAAGCAGGCGGGATTGAAGGAGACGTAGACGTATCAGAGTAGCACGATCAGGGAGGGTCGGCTTTGTTCGCTCAAGCAGTCGAGATTGGAGGAGACGTGGGTGAGTTTTAAGAAAACGGAGTAGCACGTTCAGGGATAGTCGGCGTCGTTCGCTAAGCGGTCGAGACGCCTTGATCGGAGGAGACATGAACGTATTCAACGAAAACAGACATCGATGTTACCGAGAGGCATGGGGATATTCTCAAGCCCTGTGCAAAGATTGTATTCAGGCGCAGGTCTTCCAGGCAAAGGGGGGGGTGGACATACCGGCGCGAGAGGTGATGCCATTGTTCGACCTCAAACTGTCTGAAGAGGACCATGTGTGTGTGTGTTTTTTTTTTCTTTTTTTGTAAATGTAAATGTTGGCATCGACCGCGCTAACCGGCTGACCAAATGCGTCGGTCTCAGTGCGGTTGAAAGCAGAAAAAACTTCTAAAGGCCATGATCTGGGACCCCGTGAGGGATCGTCATGCGTGTGTGTGCGAGCTGCAGGAAAGTCTTTCCGAGGTTGTACTAGGCAGGTTTGCATGCGCACGTAAATGCTCGCGCGAACCGGAGTAGTGTGTAGAGGGGGGACCAACGAAAAAAGGGGCTATCGTGGTTGTTGGAAAAGGAAAAGCCACCAGCAAGGTAGCGGGAGATTTGTCTGCCATGGAGTGCAGTAGGAGGCCGTGCTGGTCTACATCAGCACACATAGGACGCCACCGACAGCAAGACGTGCCTGCTGCTACGCCCAGCGCAACGCTTGGTAATGAAACGCCAAGCCAAGCCACTTACGGCGCGCGACGCTGGTTGAAACTAGAGGTCCAAGCTACGAACCATACCACGTTTCTAGCTTCACAACCCAGCTTGCGGTCCCCTGGCCTTACCTTGAGGTGGGGCCCGACAAACCGGAACTCGCCGCACGTGTCCGATAAAATTTCGATGGCAACGTCGACCTGCGAAGGGACAGCAGCAGGGCATTGTTTGGGTGGACGGGGGGAGGCAGGCAGGGGAGATCGTTATCGGGATAGCTGCTTCAGGAGACGAAAAGGTCAAGCCGATTGGAGGAGCCACACGAGCTCGGATGAACGTTCCTTTTCTTGGTGAAAATGCGTCGTCTTGGAATGTCAATGTTGTACAGTTACATGTTTTTCCTGGGAAGGCTGCTGACATCTGGGCCAATGCTGAATCTCTCAACGTGGTACATCAAAGGGCTGTGGACAGGCTAAAAAGGCCTCACGGTCTCGGTCTTTCACGGCCTAGCGACAAACATACACACAAGTGGTAATTCTCATGCATCCATCCCTCCGTGCCATCAACGGCCTTTTCAGACCCCTTCTTTCATCTTGCTTCCACTCCTTCCTCCCCTCCCCTGGGCAGCTGCTTCTCACGGACGATTAAACCGCTTTGCAAATTAGCAGACTAGAGCGGAATCTCCTGCGCGCGCCTGCCCAACCCCCCGCAGAAACAAACTTCGAAGCCTAGCCACACCGCACCTCAACCAACCGGATGTTAGACGTGTTGTAAAGCTCCGGCCAGATCTCTTGCATTCCCGGGTAGAACACCCGCGAGTACGCGCGCCCATCGGGTCCGACCTAACGAAGGAACATACAACAGCAGTTAGCGCCCGCGTTTAAGAAACCGTCAATTTGGGGTCGAGGCTCCAGTTCTTATTTCGTCACCACCACCGTCGAGCACACCAGATAATACATAGGATATTATTATATAGAGTGGAGTGTGGGATCGAGTGTAGGATCAATTTCTTTAGGTCCTTGTGCTTCTCAGTAGATTTTTCTTACGGATTGCCAAAATTTGAGCCCCTTCCTTCTCTCAAAAGCCTGTTTCTTAATCGTGGGTGCTGCAACAACTGTGGCGCAGGTATGATCACGGTAAGGGGGCCGCGGCAGGTGGCAGCAGAATCGAACCTTTTGCGTCGCCTACGGTTTCGGTTCTGAGACGTTCCCCGATATCACGCAGTCATTGTTGTCGCTCACTTCAACCGCGATGTGTCCAGGACTAAACCAACACAGGTGTGTTGAGTAGAACCCGTGCCAAGGAAGACGCAGCCGACTGCTGCCGCCAAGCTCAGCACCGGCAGGGACCCCCCCAAGCCTCGTTACCATGCCTCCGATTACCGTAGGTGTCACAAGATACCACACCCCCTAAATCTGTTTACAAAACTCGATTTCTCCACAACAGATTGACTGGCACCGCCGAAAATGAAGGCGTTAAAGCCGCCTCGTCGAGAGCTTTCCGACATCGTGTCGATTCATTCAAGCATCCCCTTCATCGTGCAATAATTCGAGATTCGAAAATCGGTCCAGGGGGTGTGTTATTTTGTGTCGTATACGGTATGTAACTCACCTCGATGGGGCTGGTGACGCAAGCGATCTGATGGACCGCATCCACTCCGAAGATCGCTGTAACGCGCAGGCCGCGGAGGTCGTGGCCGGTTTTCTCGAGACCCGTGAATTCGATGTGGCTTTCGCGAACATCGGGGGAGGAAGCCGTGATCGGGGTCAGGCTGTTTCCGATCCTGGTGATTGGACGGCCTTCCAAGTCACACTCCTAGTTTAAAGGCGTGGGGGCCGGGAAATGGATGGAATCAGGAAGACCAATAATGGTTGCTGTGTTCACATTAAAAACCGTCCCGGTGTCCGCTCAGTTCCTTTTAATATCCGTACTATAATAGTCCAACTGATGCGCACGCCTTCCATGGGCACAAGCCCCCCCCCCGAAAGGGGTACACCGTTCTTGAAATCTACGAACGGGAAAAAAATGGACCCAGAAAGAAATCCTTCAAACAGCGGTTGGACACAAAATGAAGCCAAGACGAAAAAATAGGTTGTTCCTTCGTGACTGTTGAGGTATGACCAAGCGTCGTGGGGGAAGAGGTCTAGATTGATCGCCCCCCAATTTGGCTCCACCGGGGGTGTTCGGAATCCGAAAACGACAAAACGTACTATAGGAAGATAAGCGTCGATGTCTACAAATCGATCGAAAATAAAGGCAACAGATTTAAAAGAGAGCTTTCATGCCGCAGGAACGGGCTTGTGGTTGGTGAATGACCCATGCGCCGCAAGCAAATCAACCCATACGGCGAACCCGGAACCCATGGGGAGGGACGGCGTTCAATGTGGACCCCTCGTCGGGGAGCGAGTGCACAAGGCTGAAGAAACAAACAACAAAACTCACGTACGTCCTAGAACCTCTCTAACGACATGTCTTCGGAGAGACACGCCCGAACTACGTTCCAAAACTCCCGACACATCTCGGCGGTGCCGCTTTCCCAGCTACGGATGTCGACCACTGGGAAGCAACTGGGTGGTGTGGGACGCAGACCATATTAATCATGCGTATGCGCGCGCTCATGGCTCGTCGTATGCGTACACGCGGCCACCGTAGCGTCTTTGTAACGAAAATATGCGTATGCAAACACATGAATTACTACCCGTTCTAGACACAAAACCACAGCAGTCGAAAGGGATGCGCTCAAGTGTTGCTGAGGATGCGAAGCCGGCGCCGCCGCCCCTGCTCCCCCCCCCCACACTCACTTTCCGAGAGACCTCCACCACAACGTCCCCCATCGGCAGCCTGCCGAAGTCGCCTACCAGCTCCGCGTCCCACGAGCTCTCCGGCGTAGACGACAGCGAGTCTACGCCGCTGGCCGTGCCGCCCGAACCGTCACCACTGTCCCCGCACCCGACCAGCCCCAAGCCGTGCGGCGGGATCTCCAGCGGGGGCTCCGCGGCATCGGACGACGGCCTCTTGCCGGACACCGTGACGCGCGCCCCGACGTGCTGGTTCGCTCGGCAGAGGTGCTGCGGGTACTGCTGGAAGAGGTGCGGCCGCTGCGGAATCGGATCCTTTGCAGCCGGGCCTTCGGCTCCGCCCATCGCCCTCACCGACCCCGCGTACTTGACGCCGCCTGGGGCAAACGACAAAAGAGCGCAGCAGTGTCGTTGACGGAATCGTCGAACGGGAAGGAAGCAGTTCGGTTGGCTGGCGGCTGGTCATGTTTGTGCGTCTACTGCTGTAGGTGTTGCGGTCCCTGGGGCAAGGTATCACCGGTCCCACAACAAACCAGGGCGGAAAAAAATGCAACGGGAGAAGTGGCGGCCTGTGAGAGCCCGAAAACTCGGAATGCTGGCCTGTCAGCGGTCCACGCGGAAAAATTGAATGGGATGTTGCTGAAAGAAAGACAATCGTTACAACTGACTGCTGGTACTGTAAGGTTGCGAGTCATCGCACCCCCGTGCGGTCGTTTTTCAAACATTTTCGCCATTTAATTTTCATTGCACAGAGGTGCGATGACTCCGGACCCTGTGCGGACATCGAATTAAGTCAATTCGTTTTGATCTATAACGCACACCGGATAACTCCCATATGCATATTTGCGGTACTCGAAAAATCTTTGCAGACGCACGAACACCTCACTCAGTTGCGCTGCGGTTGCAGGCTCCACCAGCAACGTACACACACGCGTGCACATCAGGCAACCACAACAATTAGCCCGGTTGATGATAGACTGTTAGAAAACACCTACCCGCTC